TATATAAAATATTAATCAAAATTAGTCAAAATATATAAAATATTAATTTTTTTGGCACATATAGAATATTAATTAATTATAATAAATTTATATTTTTATAAAAGTTATTGTGAAAAAAATTTATACAAAATGTGATTAAATGAAAACTAAATGACTCAAAAATTTTAAAATTTTATTCCCTTTAACTCAAATTTTTGACTCCGTTCCTGAATATAGAATATTGTTGATTTGGGCATAAAAATGTGTCCCTAGATTTGCTTTGCAAGTCTTCCTCGCTAGTCAAACTAAGTATAATTTCTGCTCGAACAGCTGTTAATTTCAAAACGGTTGCTCAAAGATCTTTATCACTTGGAGTTGCATTGACATAACTATGATGGTATATATGTTTGTATTGGTGCTACAGCCACTGGATGTTGTTTAGTAATGTGAGGTTGAAGGTGAAAGCTGGGATCCTTTTTTTTTTTTTTTTAATTGGCAAAGAAAAGAAGTTTTATTAATCTCTAAATATAAAGGATACACAAACATGTAATAATGCGCCCTCTTCTTTTGGGTCATCAATATTCCTTTTCCCTGGTTAAATTAGTTTATCCAAAATGCAGCAATTTTATTTGAAACTTTTGTGAATAAGGGCAGTTTTCCTGGGCAACGACTTAAATTGCTAGCCATCTGTTATTAAAGCACAAATGCCTAAGTAGTCATATGAAAATTCAGCAACTCAACAAGAAATGCAAATGATCATAAATTCATGGTATTTAAATAACAGTCATTTAAGATTCTAATTATCTTGGATCTAGCTCAGAAATTGAAATTTGGTTTATTGAAGGCAGGGTATGTCCATCACTAAATTGGGTGTATTCACGCGAAGATGACATGTCTAACTGAAACCTTTTGTGCTTTAAAAATGACAGATGTGAGGGTGTTGGGAGAATTGTGTAATTGTAAGCATCTCCACAATTGATCCCATTGTTGGCCTCCGGAGTACGTTTTCTTGCACACAAAGTAATCCAATATGGATACATCTTATCATGTGTGCTGTTGAAGTCTCACTCAAATTAGTATCTACAATACTTAATGGCTTCCCTTCCCTCTAGTTTCTCCATGCCTGCAACAATAATAAGATTAACGGAACATAGTACAAACTACCCATGACTAATATTTTAAAATGTTAAATTTCAAGTATTTTAATCTTGTATACTTACCAAGTTTATAAGGGTTTCACCGTCCTCTATATGGGAAGGAGAGCTTTGATTTTTACTATTTATTTATTTATTTGTTTTACCACTCACAATCGTCAAAATCATTTTACTGAAATTGAAAACATTACTCTTAATAAAAAAGTGCCTATGTTTATTATATTCTGAAGTTATATGTCCATTGTAATTCTACAATTTTAAACAAATGGGCTGAAGTTCTGAAATTGGAATGAAGTTTTGTTTAATTTAATTGGGCTTTAAACCTGCATGAACCTCATCGTTGACGGAAAATTTAAATGCAGTTAGTGATGAGTTGCTTTTTAGCATAATTACTCTAGTAGTACATTATTAGACCCCCTTTTAATAAGATAATTACTTCATCTTTCGATTTCATTTTAATTGTTTAACCTTTTAATTTTACACATATAAAAATAATCTGGTGATTGATTAAAATTTTATAATTAAGCATTAAAATAACGCATTTATCTTTAATAAAATTTTTTATTATTTTAATTAACAAACTAAAGTAATAGAAATAAAATTAAATAACAACATTTAATATCTTAAAAAAAATAAATAAATAACACAACTAAATTAAAATATCGAGATAATTGGAGTGGTGGGTGTAACTTGACCTATCACATTAATTTTTACTTGTCCCACACTCCTCTTTAGACTGTGAATTTTCCTTGCAGTAAGTTAATAAATCACAGTGACACATGGGAGAAAGCTCCACTGGTTTTTCCCCCATTAAATTTTTTTCCAAATCTCGGAAGAACACAAATCGAAGTCCATAAAATGGTACAATCTTAGTCTTTACAGGGCTCTGGGCAATGGGCTTTTCAGTGAATTTTTTCTTTGTTCCTCTGTTACTTGCCCACCTTCTTACCTTCTCTGTAGCACAGGAAAATCCCCTGTTTCACGTTTGTTCAAATGGCAATGGCAACTTCACCACTAACAGCACTTACCAGACCAACCTCAATCGTCTCTTCTCCTCCTTCAACCCTAACTCAGAAAACAATTATGGGTTCTACAGTGTTTCGATCGGCGAAAATTCAGACCAAGTTAACTCAATTGTGCTCTGTAGAGGAGATGTTCAGCCTTGTTAAATTTCAAGAAGAATGAAAAAAGTTGATTCATTTCTTCAACTTGAATTACATCGCTATAAAGGCATATGTGTGTGTATGTGTTTATATATATATATATATATATATAGACAAAACAAGGAACCGGCTTTACTATTTGGTGAAATGGCGGCTTGTACTAGCTGCATTAATGAAGTTGTAGATAATTGTGCATTGCAGCAAAGATGGCGTATTGAGGCAGTAGACAATTGAGTGAAGACTTATTCTTGAAGGGAGTTGAAGTATGCATTTTTCTAGTGCATTTATTAACATAGCTGCATATATCAATATCATAACAAGCCTGATGTTTGCCTTAGCTGCATCAACAAAGCTACCACCGAGCTAACAAACAGATGTCCCAACCAGAAGGAAGCAGTTCTATGGTACGACAACTGCATGTTTAGACTTTAGATACTCGAATGTTGCTATCAATGGCGAGTCTTTTCATCCTAATTTCAATATGTCAGACAATAATAACGTCTTGAACGTCAGTGCTTTCAATTCTGCCCTAGATACTCTGTTGTATTACCTGACAAATAAAGCAGCATCGGTTAGTTCGCTTCGCAAGTTTGCAACGGGGACAGCCCGGACCAGCAGCAGTGCCGCTATTGCTTGTCTCAATCTTTTACCCAAATTCCAGCATGTTGTAACTGTAAGCAGGGAGGCAGAGGAGCTGGAAAAAGCTGTAATCCAAGGTTTGAGACCTATTCTTTCTATAACGCTTCTGCTGATGGACCGTCATCGCTACAGCCGCCACCAGCAACGATACTGTCTCCACCCTCAAACAGTGCTACAATTGTACCACGTAAGGCAGAGTCAACTCCAATTATGAAACAATTCAGAACTCAATTAGAGTTTGATGAAAGCACCATCTTGATTTTGCAGGACAAGATCAGAATTCATCTCGGAATATCATCATTATAGTTTTCGACCATTGGTTCCTTGATACTTATCTTCCTCATCTGCATCTTCATCTTTTTGAGGGTGAGGGACTCAAAGAAGAAAGTTGAAAGTAAGTCTAAGTTTTTATACATAGATTCTTCAATTGGATTTGGAATTCTTTCGATTTTGAAAGTTTTTAGTGTAATTAAATGAATATAGTACTTATTCCTTGTCCATTTTCCACCTGTGATGCAGCAGATGAAATCCGAAGTGCAGATGCATTGCAATATGATTTTAGCACCATTAGAGCTGCAACAAATAACTTTCCTGATGCAAACAAGTTTGGACAATGTGGATTTGGTGCAGTTTATAAGGTAAATAAATAACTGGGTATCAATTGTAATGTGAAATAAAATAGGGTGGCTTAAATTTAAATCTATTCTTAGGGTAGACTTGCCAATGGACAAAAAATAGCTGTCAAGAGACTATCTACAAATTCTGGTCGAGGAGATCAAGAACTTAAAAATGAGGTCCAGTTGGTGGCCAGGGAACAACATATAAGAATTTAGTTAGGCTCTATGGTTTCTGCTTGGAAGGAAAGGAAAGGTTTCTTATTTATGAGTTGGTCCAAAATTCCAGCCTTGATAACTTCTTTCGTGGTGTGTCTCACCGCATCTCAGATTCTATAGGCAATTATGCTAAGCGCAAGTCTAAAATACTCTAATGTTTCTTTCATATATTAAGATTAAGATATATATATTTGACTATTTTAAAGATCCTATGAAATGCACTCAACTAGATTGAGAAACGTGATATAAAATTATAGGAGATATTATTGGAGGAATTTTTTATTTTAATGAAGGCTCTAGATTCCAAATTGTTCATCATGATCTTAAAACTAATAATGTTTTATTAGGCACAGAGATAAATTTAAAATTTTCAAATGTTGGCGTGGCAAGATTGTTTGGGGTGGATCAAAGTCAAATTGCTACAAGTACAATTGTAGGAACGTAGTAGTGTTAGAATTCCCTACATGCTTATACCAACTTCACCATGGTTAATACTATGCAAATATTTAGTCAAATTTTTTATCTTATGGATCTTGAATTGTAGTGGATATATGACTCTTGAATATGCATTGCATGGACAAATCTCACTAAAGACTAATGTTTTTAGTTTTGGAGTGTTAGTTTTGGAGATTGTAAGCCATCAAAAGAATAATTCTTTCCATCATGGGGACAATGTGGCAGACCCAGACCAAGACCTTATTAGCTATGTTAGTAAGGGATTCAAATCAATATCAAATTCTAAATTTTTAAGAAATTATACTAATTTTCTTATCATGATCTTTTTTGCGTGGAATTGGAAAAATTGGAGAGAAGGGACACTGCATAACATTATTGATCTCAACTTGAGGGAGGGTTCAAGAGCTGAAATTATGAGATGCATCAACGTCTCACTACTTAATGTGCAAGAAAATGTACAAGAAAATGTAGCACAGAGACCAACCATGGCTTCAGTTGATCTAATGCTTACAAGCAATTTAGTGACTCTTCCAGCACCCTTACATTTTGCATTCATGCACAACACCACTTAATCAAGCATGCCATCTTCTCACGACTTCAACTTATGGGCAATAGAATCCCACCAATCTAGACATAAAACTGCCTTGGCAGGGGACAATGATGGTGAAAGAAAAAAAAAAAAACCTTAGGGACTTGATTGTGAAAAGACAATAAATTTAGAGACTAACTTTGAAGTTTTCCAAAGATTAAAATATTTTTTACTTTAAATAAAGTTGGAATAGCGAGCGTACACCCTACCTTGTGTTGGACGAGGAGGTGAAGACGGTGGCCGTGGTGGCCGAGATAAACCATCCTCGGCCTCATATTTCAATATACAGCTGGGTTGTAGAATTCTACATCCTATCCTCGCATAGCAGTATCGCTGAATCTTTCCGCGGGCAGTCTCCAGACAATTTCTGCAATCTGCATTCTTGCTGGCACAGATCAGGGCTGCATTGTACAGACGCGTCGATATTGATAAGGTCGGTCGGATCCGTCGCCGCATGCCTGCTTCCGGCGGCGGCACGATTGGTCAAATCTTCCAGCAAGGAATTCAATGTCACATTGAGTTGATTAACGTTGGACACAAATTGATAAGATGGAATAAAATAATCAGGCAGGGTTTCCTCGGCCACGAAAATATCTCGACTTGAGTAGCACGCCATACAGAGATCCGACCATCCAACCGCCTCTGTGTTATTATTACAGTTCTCCTGGAGTTGGGAGATGGTGTTGTTCGGACAACTTATGCAAGCACCCTGGTTTACTTCTGCTATGCAGAGTCCAACTGCGTTGACCTGATTGGGGCTCTGGCCGACACTCATTGTAGAACCCAGAATTAAACCCCTTCTTGCTTGAGGTGATTTGGGTGGAGAGGCGTTTGCAGTTGGCCTGGTAAACACTGCCGCCTCCGCAAACAATGGAAGCAGAACAGAGATTAACTGAAGAAAAGAGGATCCGAAGCAGTACTGAACATCCCATTTAACCCTTGAAAAACTAATGGGTTGGGCTAAAGTTTTGAAATTAAATGGATCTGCGGAATCCCTGATTAGAGTGAAATTGAGGTGACGATGTCAGAGGTTCAACTTGCTTAAATTGAAAGAAAACAAGAGGAAATTCGTTGAAAAAATGCGGAATCGAGGGAATCTGAGGTATGGAGGCTGCTGGCAAATGCAAAGATCAGTTGTAAGTAAAAATTGAAAGAGGGAGAGAAAAAGATATATTTTTTTCTTTTATATTTGATTCATCTATCCACTAAAGATAGCACTTGTGGCATCTCTTTTCCAGGGCAATAAACCTTTGCCAAAAGGCCAATTAGATATACGATGTATGGGTGAGTTGTGTTGGGTTAGATCACTGCTGGTCACGGATTCTCAATTTAGTTCGTTAACAAAAGAACATTATCCATAGCAATTTTAAGCAGTATGATAGCAAATTGAGTCAACTTTTACTACGTAGCTCTTAGGCTTACACAAATATGAAAAATCTTTTCCTAACTAATTTTGCTTGATGCAAAAGCTAGTCCATATATGAACTTGAAGCACTTGGTCCATATACCCCAAGGAAGTGAATGGGCCAAACTTGGAGTTGGCAGGTTTCTCAACAGCCTAAAAATGTTCCCTAATTGTTTGTTACAGACAAAAGAAAGCCTAACCATCAATCTGAATGTTGGACATGTCGGCTATCTAATGCAAGAAAATTATGAGAACACTGAGGTTGTCTTGGGCCATTCAGGTGAGCGATTTGTAGTGTTTAATCAATCTTTTGTGACAGGACAATGATCACATGATGATGGTGAAGCCAACCAATCCTCGAACTGACATCCACTGTATATGCTGCCTGTACCCATTAAGTCATTTTTTGTGGGCCCAACAACATTGCAGGCCATATAAATGCAGCCTTCGCTGTCTTCGGATCCTTCTACAGCCTGAAGCCCATCATCAATGTTCTGTGTTACACGGCAGAGTTAATTAAAGTTTCATAAATGGTACATTAAACAAGAAAGAAAAAAAAAAAAGGGGGAGCAACAAACTCATGCAGGCACATGTGCTTTTTCATCTAATCACACATGACAGTTTGTTTTGTACTTATCCAAACTAATGGTCTCTTAAAGCGTGTTAAGGAAACCCAAATACCTAAGTAAGTGCATGAACTAGTTAGCTAGTTGCATTTTTTTAACTACTTATATTTGTTATTGCTTCTTACAAAATGTCAGACATCAGATTCTGAGAGTTGACCTTTTACGTTCAAAACACTTGGGATGGCTTATTCTTTTCAATTTGATACAGATTCATTCTCTTCTCTTCCTCCTAAAACTAGAGTTGATATAGAATATGAAGATGATTGGTCTGAATGTATTGAGTCTTGTTCTGTTCATAATTTTGATGTTGTTACAGAACATTTGTCTTGCTGACAACAATGTGAGTGCCGGTTGTGGATGTTCAGAAGCTGAAAACTCATCTGAAAACTCCTTCTAGGGCAATCTTGACAACCTTCTGAATCAGCTGGGTGCAAGTGGGCCTAACAGTGGATTCTACAAAACCACAGCTGGGGAGAAGTCAGACAAGATTTATGGTCTTGTGCAGTGTAGAGGGGATGTTTCTGCAGCAAACTGTGCTAACTGCACAAGCAAATCCATAGCTGTTGCCTTGCAGGATTTTCCCGTGAGCAAAACGGTTAAGGTTTGGTTCACATCGTGCTATCTTCGGTATTCTGACCAGCCTTTCTTTAGTGTGTGGTATATATCCTTAGTAGCAATATACAATAGTACCAACTCTGATGACCCATCTGTTGCATCCCAAGGGTTCAACTTCACTAACAGGCTTGCAGCTGCTGCAGCAAATTAGACGCTGATATTTCAGGCTGGAGTGCTGGCTGGGTGTTGGAGATAGCGGGAACAGTCATCGTATGGTCCAGTGCGCCAGGGATATTATCAGAGCTAACTGCAGCAAGTGCTTGGATGCTCAGCTGATGATTTTTAAAACCATAGTTGGAAAATATAGAAGATGGGAGATTTATGGGTATAGTTGTAGCATGTGGTACTATGACTATCAATTCTATTTCAACATCTCTACCTCTTCTAATGATGGTAAATTACATAACTGCATTAATCATTATTTTTCCATGATCTTGAAGTTATACTTGCATTATGTGAATAATGAATGAAACTACGCTATGGCTGTCAATCGCAAAACAGGTGCTCGAAGATCTTCTTCACGTGGAGTTGCAATTGACATAACTATGGTTGTCCTGGTGTTTGTATTGGTGCTATCGGCCTATAGCCATTAAATGTTGTCCAATTATGTGAGGTTGAAGGTGAAAGCTGGGATCAGCTAAGAGCAATTTTTTGTTGAAACTTTTGTGAGTACTTGATCTCTTAAGTCTTAACCGTTGATTTTTTTCATGGTTCAAAAAGGAGACAAAATGGAGAGGAAAGAGGTAGAACATAAAACGAAAATGGAGAGGAGTATAACACTGCACCTCAAATTTCTCATCAACCAGCTCTGCTTTATATAGCATAAAGCAGAAAAACAACCTAAAAACAATTCAAAAAGTATCCTACTTAAATGTTTTTTTAAGTTTTGTTTGTGCAACTTAATTTTAGACATTAAATAGCAACAATGAAGTACACCAAAAACTAGTAAAAGACAGCCATGTTTGCTGCATGCTTGCTGTCATTTGTCCAATGTGCAGCCAACTTGAAGCGTTCATCTTCATTTACACAGCATCATCTTGGAGATTTGCTGTTTCAATTTTCTGTTATCAAAATGAACATAACAATGCAGCTAACTTGCTGCTTTCTTGCTGTCCAATCGCAGCTTCATTGCTGCCATTTCATGGCAGCTTCATTCGTCAGTCTGTAGGTGTGAATACCACAACTCTAAAATAACTCCAACATTAACTAGTTAATTAAAGTTATATTTACTTTAAAAAAGAAACTTGGTAGTAGTGGTGGTTGAAGATTGATCGGATATATGAGATCCCTCCTTTCCTCCACTACTTGAAGAATGATCAGACATCGCAATTAATCTCGCTGCAGAATACGAGGCTGTTGATGGTTGGGGGAGGTTTACTGAGTTGCTACCAAGCATGATAACAACTAAAGACATTGTAGGCCGATGCGCAGAGTCATCCTGAACACAAAGCAAAGCAATTTGAACCCATCTTAAAACATCGTGCTGCGGTCAGTTGTTGACAATGTTTGAATCTATCAATTTCACTGCTTTACCTTCACTCCGTAGCATCCATGCCTGTTCAAGATCACACATGATAATGGGGTTCATAACTAGGTAAAGAGAACAAATATATGCTTGTTTATGAACAAAATGTTCAAGAGATTAAGAGAAAGGACTTACATATGTTATAAGGCTCTGCCTACAATCTGAGGCGGACAATCCCCTGTTCTTTTTACCGCTTATTATTTCTAGCATTAGGATTCCAAAGCTATAAAGATCTGATTTTATTGAAATCACACCTTCTTGTGCATATTCTGGTGCTATGTATCCACTGGTATAGAAAATTGTTCAGGTGCCTTAACATATATAATTTCTTAGAAAATGTTAAAAGAATAGAATGAGGATTGAGGGAAATACGTACCATGTTCCTATAATTATGTCAGTGTTGGCTTCCATTTTTTTAACTCTAAAGTTTCTAGCAATACCAAAATCTGATATCTTGGGGTTCATCTCATCATCCAAGAGAATATTGCTTGCCTTTAAATACCTATGGATTATTTTTAGCCGCAAATCCTCATGCAGATATTGCAAGCCCTTTGCAGTCCCATTGATGATATTTGCCCTTGTCTCCCAGTCTAATAGCTTGCATTTTTTCGAATCTGTTTTCATAAAAGCATTGTTAGCCATTAAAATACAGAAAATGTACAACTTGGAATGTGAGGAAAGGAGCTAACCAAAGAGAAAAACATCCAAGCTAGTGTTGGCCATGTACTCATAGACAAGAAGTTTTTCATCTTTCTTTACTTAGTATCCCAAAAGCCTCACAAGATTTTTGTGTTGAAGTTTTGTGATTAACTTCAGTTCATTCTTGAACTCTTGAAGACCTTGACTTGATGTCATTGAAAGCCTTTTGACAGCAACTTCCTTCCCATTATGCATTTTTCCCTGAAAGCATTGATGTGAATTAACCTCATCAACCAAAGAAATTTGTCATAAAATTTCAGAAGAAAGTGTACTGTTGAATGACCCATTTTTTGTTTAAAACCTTGTAAACAGGACCAAAACCTCCTCCCAGCTTATTGGCATCAGAGAAATCGTTTGTTGCACCCTGCATTTCAGCTAACCTAAAGCAATGCACCTCCTCACTGTGTTCTTCTTCAGCTTCATTTATACCTGTCTCGACAATGCGCCTTTGATTGGGCCTTGAGAATTTCTTAACAGAATCTCTCCATTTGTTCCTCGCCCTGTGTGAAAAATCAGCAACACTATAGATCTAACTTGCAAAAGCCCCTTTGTGTTTGTGTGTGTGTATGTTCAAATTTCACCCAAAGGAAAAATGAAAAAGGGGGGAAAAAAAAAAGGGCTATTTGCATCTACCTTTCAGTCCTTTCCTGCAGAATGAAAAACATAAGAAGCCAGCGAGAATGAATGCAAGGGCAGCTGCTAATGATGATACAGAGATGATCACAACCTTTGTCTTTTTTACCCCATTCCCTGCTAGTACATATATTACACCAAACAATCACAAATTTTCTTTTAGAATAGTTTAGTTCGGAAAATTTTTTTGAAGATAGTTTGGAAAATTAATTTCGCCATTCAAAATTTGTCCTAATGTAGTACTACCTCTATTGGGCATGAGACCTGGAACTGCAGGAACAAGCTGAGGTGCTGCAGGAGCAGGCTGTGGTGCTGCAGGAGCAGGTTGTGGTGCTGCTAAATAAAAAGCGTATTCTTCAAATCTTGCAAGGCAACTTGGGTTAAGAAGCGCCACCCTGCCCACCCCTTGCAACAATTCGGGATTTGATCAGCTATGTCCTTCAAACAAGAGTAACATAAACTTCTATTGAGATCTCTCGTGCACTGCACCAGGACACATATATTCCGACGCACATTACTAGGCACAACTCCTTTCCGGGTCCCATATAGCTCAGGTGAGTTCTGAGCTCGCTCAATCGCTTCATTTAGCAAATCAAGTACCGCCGAATCGTCTTCAGATGAAGTATTGTGTTCTAGATTCCTCATGTAGACATAGGAGTCTGGCTCAAATATCATTTCACCGAAGAAATCGGTATTCGAGTAGCGTAACAGGCATTTTTCGTACCTGATGACTCCACCTCGATAAGAAGAAGAGCAATTTTTGGAAGATCTATGGTAGCGTCATTGATGCAGTTTTGGCAAGTGCTACTATCAACATCACCTCTGCAGAGAAACAGGCCATAGATTCCTTTAAAAGAATCATTGTAGAAGGTATGTTGGGAAGATTTGAAGGACAAAACTTCCATCAGGGATTGAACGTCAGATTGATAACTTGCCGAGGTATTAAATTCATCTAAACATTTGGGAAGATTCCAGAATGTTGCGCAAGTGATGAATCCGAAATTCAGCACAAAGATTGTGATCAAAAACAGAAGAAAAGGTTTGAATTTCTGAAGAAAAGAAATCATCATTTCCGTGATACAATGGAAAAGGGGCCAATGATACTCAAGATATGAATGGCCGGCATATTTGGTCTTTTGTACCCTGGAAACTGAGGAAGCTTAAGACTGCAACGATTTTGCTCAGAGGAAAAATGGAGAGAAAACAGGGAGAATGAAAATGAACAGAAGAATTTTGTTTTTGTACGAAGGGCCCGTGACAAAGGAAAATTCCATTTTACCTTTTTTTTATATAATTTTTAAGTGTAAAAAGCCCAAAAGGAAAAAGGAGGGTTCTTGAGATACTATCCAATTTTTTTTTAATTATTTTATTAGTAATAATTTTTAAAAGAAAATATTATAATTTTATTTTATTTAAATAATATTTAAAATTATATTAAAAATGATATAAAATATTGTTTTTAATTTT